AGAGGGGGCAACAGGGGGGAAATAGGGACATCCTATATAATAATAATAGAAGGCTAATATGCACATCGACAGAATGGCAGAATGACCGGTTGCTATGGTGCACACTAGCCACCAGGGGGCAGAACTCAATGCAGGAGCTGCCCCCTGGTGGTCAGTGCACTTCCATATGGGGGGTGCCACTCAGCCAGAAGCTGGCTCATGGCTGGCCAGCACAGAGGTGGTGGCAGGAGCTTCTCCCACCTCCCTGGCACCACTAAGAATGTCCAACTAACGGTTTAGACCTGATCCCATGGGGGCCTAAGCCTTTAGTCAGACATCACCCGAGGGCTCCCTGGCTGCCAGAAGGATGTCTGATTGCAAGCTTAGGCCTGATCCCCCGGGGAGTGGGCCTAAGTCAACAGGTGGACATCCCCCAAGGGGCCCTGGACTGTGAATGGGCACAGGCTGGGCTGAGGGAACTCCCCACCTCAGTGCACAAATTTTTGTGCACTGGGCCTCTAGTTATAGTATAAGTTCTTTGAGTAAAATGACAATGTCTGATACATTTCTTGCGTCTCATAGATACTAATTTCTTGGACATTGAAAGGCCTTCATCACTATTGTCAGTAATTGAACACTAACATGGTGTGTTGTAAACATATTTAGCAAAATACAAATATTAAGAATAATAATAGAATAACCAACATTAGTGTTATTTCTTCCAGCATATCTCTGTCTTGCATTTACATCCAGCTCTACATTGATTTCAGTACTGAAACAGTACAGCTTGGTGTACTGGTTCTCATACTGGAACTTGCATAAGAGTCCTGCGGAGGGCTTATCAATGCGTGGGTGTTATACTCTACTCTTAGAGGTTCGGTAGATCCAGTCATTTGCATTTCTAATAAATCCCCAGGTGATGTTGATGTTGCTATTCCAAGAACAATTCTCCTAGAACCACTGGTTAGTGATTATAGAACGAGAAGTGTGGACTTAGAAATCCAACTCTATCACTTACAAGCTGTATGAACTTGAGCAATATTTATTTTAGATATTTATATATCAGTTTCTTCATCTATGCAAAACAGACATTAAAATATTTTGTGTGGCCCTGGCCAGCTTGGCTCAGTGGATAGAGCATCAGCCTGCAGACTGAAGGGTCCCAGGTTTGATTCCAGCCAAGGGCACATGCCCAGGTTGTGGGCTTGATCCCCAGTAGGGGGCATGCAGGAGGCAGCCAATCAATGATTCTCTCTCATCATTGATGTTTCTATCTCTCTCTCCTTCTCCCTTCCTCTCTGAAATTAATAAAGAAATATATATATTAAAAATATATTTTGTGTGGATTTAGTGAGCTAGTATAAATAAAGTGCTTGTGGCAGGGCCTGGCACAAATGTAACAAGTTCTAAAGGGTTATTAACCATACTTATTTTTATATCAACTATATTACATTCCAAAAATCCATATCACTAGCTCGTTCTTGGAATGTCTTTTGTGTTGTAGTACAAAAAGGAAAGTATTGAGGAATAGACTCAGAGCTGTGATTCTTGGAATATCAGAGAAGAAAAGCATGAGATATAAGAAAAGCCCTAGCGGAAAATCCAAACAGTTGTACTATGACCCGAAGTGCTTTGACAGAGAACACAGCGCTCCCGCAGGGAAAAAGTGTCTCTGAGAAGAGAGAAAATGCAGCATGATTTAAAACGGACAAAGTAGAGGTCAGAAAGTCAGGTCAGTTTTAATAAACATGGGACCCGATCTGAAATGTATAAAATTCAAGATGAATTTTTAAGCATAAAATTATCACTGCTCTGTGGATGGTTAACATGATCTATAGTTTTCTCAATCATGCTACGTTCGTTTATGAAACATGAAATGGGTATAACTTCTAAAACCTGACTTGAGGTACAAAATATATATCAAATATTGTCTCGATTTCTTGTGAACATGTGAGCAATAAAATCAGAAACTGGGAGAGTTTCAAAATTTATTGTTCTGAATAGGAAACGTGTATTTTTTTTTTTTCCCCACCAGCAGGATGTATCGTTTTACGGTTCTATTAATATCAGGATTTTAAACAGCGAAGGTAACCTCGTAATAGGACAATATCTAAAGATATGAAGGATCTGCTTTATGGTATGGATAGTACTGTACCAATTGGCCTATTTTTTAGATTAGATTCCTTGTACATTTATATTTCAATTTAAATAAAATATTCCTTTCTGTTTTTAACAAGATCACATTATTCTAATCCCAAATAAAATCAGGAGGGAATATAGCAGAGGCATGGTTTCTGATTTAGACAGTGTGAGGTAAAAGGTCATTCTGTGGCCACTGTTCTGAGAATATGTTCCCGATTATTTTTGCATATCTCAAGAGGCAGCGACAGGGTAATAAAAATAGATGAACATTGCTTGGACTTACATAAAGGACGAACACTTCTGCCAGTGTTTTTCAGAGTGTAATCTCTAGGTGCCTGCCCCAGAATCACACAGGTTGTTTTTTTAAAAAATTTAGGTCTCACCTCTCTGGCTGGTCTGGCTCAGTAGTTGAGTGTCAACCTATGAACCAGGAGGTCATGGTTCCCAGGTTCCTGGTTAGGGCACATGCCCTGGTTGTGGGCTTAATCCTCAGAAGGGGGCGTGCAGGAGGCAGCCTGTCGATAATATTTCTCTCTCATAGAAGTCTCTATCTCTCCCTCTCCCTTCCTCTCTCTTTAAAAATCAATAAAATCACGAAAGAAAAAATAAATAAAACATTTAGGTCTCTGAGCACCTCGTGGGACTGCTGACTCACAAACTCTATAGATTGGCTCATGATCCAATAGTTTTAGAGATTCCGCAGGCGCTCTTTCCTGAGCCATTAGCTCTCTGATGTTGACAGGCTCCCTGGGAGAAATTACATAGTTAAAAATAAATTACCTTTCCTTCCTTTAGGTTAGGAAGTATGCAAATAAACTAAGCATGCCAATCAGTGATAAAATATATGCTGAGAGAATAGAGCACATATTAATACATATTTTATTTTATATTTAGCTTAATTCAATACAGAAAACTCTGCAGAGTATATATTAAATCTGGATACTTGAGTCTTCACCATGATTTAAAAGACAGTAAAAATGTTTCTCTTGTACAAATATTGTCACCCTGAAATTATCTAAATAAATAACACGAGACTGCAGTTTTGTGCGCTTATTGGCTACTTATAAACTTACGAGAGGCCCAGTGCATAAATTTGTCCCTCGGCCTGGCATATGGGATTGGGCCAAAACTGACTCTCCGATATCCCCCAAGGGGTCCCGGATTGCAGGAGGGCACAGGACAGGCCGAGGGACCTCACTGGTACATGATTGGGGCCAAGGAGGGATGTGGGAGGTTGGCCAGCTGGGGAGGGAATATGGGAGGGCTCCAGGGCATGTCCGGCTTATCTTGCTCAGTTTCGATTGTCCGGACCCCAGCAGCAAGCTAACTTACCAGTTGGACTGTCTGCCCCCTGGTGGTCAGTGCACGTCATAGTGGTTGAGCAGCCTTAGCATATCATTAGCATATTATGCTTTGATTGGTTGAATGGATGACTGGGAGACTGGGCACTTCGCATAATAAGCCTTTAATATATAGGATTGGCCAATTCTGCTACTGGTCTGTTTGACTTTCCCTTCTTGATTTCTAAGAGA